GAAACAATTCACTCCCCACTGGTTGTCAGTAACTCTAGTCCTATGGAACTTACAGTCCTAGGCAGTTTCGTGGGTACTGAGAAGCTAACAGACCTAGCTTGGTCACATGGCTAGTCTATATGTGAGAGAGGATTTGAACACAGCTTTTCTTGACTCTAAGCCTAGTCCTCTACCCCCTTTGCCATACTGGCTGGCTAGCAAAAACAAGAGAGGCAAGGTGGTACAGTAGAAAGAATACTGGATTTGGAATTAGAAGACTTGGGTTCGAATCATAGCTCTGTCACTACCTGTCTGATTTTGTCTCTAGGTGCACCTCAGTTTCCCTCTCTATAAAATAAGAGGGGTTAGACTAGATAATCCCCAAAGTCCCTTTCTGCTCTAAATCTATCAGCCTATGACGTATTTAGCTCCATCTCTGAGCTGCTACTATTGTTCTTGTGAGAACAGTTAACAGCAATGCAGGAAACAAAATTCACACCCAGTTCACTTGATTGATAGGTCTATAAGAGAGCAATCTGAAGGAATCGGTCTCCACAGCCCCTGGAACCTAAAAATCATCTCTCCATCATGTATGAAAGGAAAAGGGCTGAAAAGATTAGGAGGCTTGACAAAGTGTATTTGAGTGGAGTCACAAATGGAGATTAAGTCAAACCTACCTCTGCCTATTAAAAAAAAAATGTATCAGCTGATAGGGCCAGTAGCAAGATACCTATTATATTAACTGATAGGGTTGAAAGCCATTGAAAGGACTGAGTACAAGAAAGAATCATTTATTTTGAAATAAATACATATTTGTGTTTCTTCCTCTGCACTACATATAGTATATAGAATCTAAGGCAGGGGCATGCTGAAGTCAGTTTGTATTGAATTGAGTGAGCCAATTGTTAAATTTTCAGTGGGATCATTTCCACCTCAGAAATTGGTGATTACTACAAATTAGGACTTAATTTATTGTTTTATTGTTCTAGACTCGAGAAACTGATGGTAACATGATAATAATGCATACTGAACTTTTTTTTAAAAAGTGTCACATGTACATTTCCCCCTCCCCCCCCGAGACTGGCTTTTAAACATTTACCAGCACCCCCCTGGTCTGAGGTGCCCTTCACAGGACAGTTATATCACATGTAACTCAGCGAATGAACTGACAAGTTATCTTTAAATCACATCATATTTTAAATACTTTCACTAAAGTCACAGACTCACAGTATCTCACAGTTATAAAGGACCTCAGTGACTACCTAGTGTTGTTCATATTAACCAAGAAAAAAAAAATCCCTGTTTAACGTGTCCAGCCAGTGGTCATCCACATTTTGCTTACAGACCTCCAGTGAGGAGGACCCCATTACCTCCCAAGAGAGCCCCTTCCACTTTTGAACAGCTCAAATCGCTAGCGTCTAACTGAACTGGCCTCAAAGTCAGGAAGACTTGAGTTTAAGCCTGCCTCGTACCTACTGGCTCTGTGACCCTAGGCAAATCCCTTGACCTCTCAATCCTCCAGGCATATCTCTGAGACTCTGAGGTGTAGAGAAGATGCTGACCTGTATCGATGGAGAAAGCTTCTTCACCCTGGAGTTCCATGTACGCATAAAATCACAGGTCCCTGTTCCTACAACAAGCCTTATTTTCAGTCTTTGCTTTTTAGTTCTGCTGTCTCTTAACTCAGAAAAAATATTCTAACTTCCTTTTCTTGGTGGCCGCACTTTAAATACTTCAAGACAATTAATTGTGTGTCCCCTTGAATCTACTCTTCTCTGTGCTAACCGTCCCCAGGTCCTGTGAGTGATCCTTAGATGGTATACACAGGAGCCTTCCATCCAGCTTCTCCTTACACTGTGACAACTCAAGCTAAATCCAGTACTCCAAATGTGTTCTGACCAGGGTATAGTACAAGCAGAATTACTCGCCTTATTTCTGATAGTTCAGGGTCTCTGAACAGAGCCTAAGGCTGCTATATTATATTGTTGACTCTAATTGAGCTTAAGGACCACTAAAGTCCCCAGATCTTCTTCATGTGAACAGTTGACTAGCTGTGCCTCTTCTTCTTGCTCCTATGAAGTTTCTTTTTTGAACCAAGTCCCATTTCAATGACCCAAGAGCCTAAGTTCTGTCAGGACCTGCCAAGCTGGACAGTCTCGGAAAACAAGACTGGTGACAGGCTTGTTTTGGCTGTCCAAAGACCAGCCTAGTTAATAAATTCAGAGAGGCTCCTTGCCAGAAGACTGGCCAGCCAGCAGGTGAAGATTTTGGGGAGAGCGGCTGAGGAGGGGCTGGAGCCATAACAATTCTTGAATATATTTTTAAACTTTCATTTATATAGCACTTTTTGCAAAGATTTTTTTTCCACTCAAAATAACCCTGTGAGGTAAGCACGGTGAATATAATTTTCCCCATTGTACAGATGAGGAAAGTGAAGCTCTGTGAGGATGTGACTTACCGCTCATCTATCTAGTAATTGGGTCTCCAGGCTCCCAAATTCACCTCTCTCAAGACTTGAGGCCAGATGATGGAGGGAGTAACATACAGACAAAATCCACAAATCTTTTTAAATATTGGAAGTATTTTTAATTCATTTGGGGGAACTTGAACATTAAGGAACTCTATGTGGAATCCTTTTGTAACATGACCAGTCATACCCCAATTCAGCTTTTTTGCAAGTTTGAACTTCCATATATTCTGTTATTTTATTGTGGAACGTATTACAATAGTAGATCATCGTGCCTTCATTGGCCTTTAGGGAAGCAATGTTTTAGAGAGGAATGAGTGCTGGACTTGCACTCAGGAAAAACTTGGGATCAAATCCTGTCACGACTAGCTACTAGCTGTAGAAACTTCCCTGAGCCTCCGTTTCCTCATCTGTAAAACGTCATTATAATACCTATAGGGAACAATTTATATAACAATAGCACTGTAAAACCAAATACATTTGAAAGACATAAGAACTCTGAACTGTTCAATGACCAACAATGATTCCAGAGATTCAGTGATAAAATGTGCTACCTTCCTCTTGTCAGAGAGTTGATAGATAAGGATGCAGAATGAAAGAGAGAGAGAGAGAGAGAGAGAGAGAGAGAGAAGAGAGAGAGAGAGAGAGAGATTTTTTTGCACATGGCCAATTCGGGAATTTGTTTTGTTTGACTAAGGATTTGTTTTTATTTTTTTAGTGGTTGGGAAAGGGACATTGAAGGAACAAAACATTTCTGTCCAATTTTAAAATATTTAAACTTTTAAAAAAATAACAATTGTTATAGCATCTACATCGTAGCGCTGGGAGGATCAAATGAGCTAATGTACACAAAACACAACAAACCTTGAAGCATTGTGTAAATACTTTTATTTTGTCTCATTTGTCAAAGCTTCCCTGTGACTTACTTACTCTATGGGAAATCTGGCTTGTCTCTGGAACTAGAACCATTAATATCTAGTCACCAGATGATGGCTAAAACTATCGAGAGAAGTCCATGAATGTGACCCAGCTGAACCTGCTGTCGCTGAGTGACTTGTACGACAGTGCAGAATGTTCTTTCTCTTCCCACTGCTTACTAGAATTCTCTCGTCAACATGCATCAGGGTCCCACATCCTGAACTGGTACCTGCTCTTTATGCTTAATAATGGAATGCCCCTTCCCCTTTGGAGACCCCACTCCCTTACTGTATTCTATAGTTTTGTGATTCAAAAGTTGGGAACAAACCAATTTTTTATAAATTAAGTCAGACTTTAGATGAATGCCAGGAGAACCATTTAAGGAGCCCTGTGGTGAAGCCTTTTGTAAAGTGAAGCCATTTTTGTCTTCTTTTGTGAGAGGTGGAATAGCATTATGGATAGAGGGCTAATCTTGGAATTGGGAAGACCTAGGTTCAGGTCTTGCCTCTGACATGTATATGGTAGCTGTGTGACCATAGGTATATCACTTAACCTTTCAGTACTCCAGGTAACTTCCTAAAACTATAAATTACAAATAAGTTGTAGATCTGCACAGGTGAATGGAGTTCCTCATGTCCCAGATCTAGACTATAGTGTCCCCGCACCACTCCTTCCTCCCCTTTCCCTTACTTCCCTTCAAATGTTAGAGACAGTAGAGGATAGTAGGCTGGCCTTGGAATTAGTAAGATCTGAGTTCAAATGTCGACTCCTATATTTACTAACCAAGTGACTCTGGCAAGAAATAAACTCTAAGACTTATGTTGACTAAGGTGGAGCTTACATGGTTGAAGCGATCTCCAACAACTAAAACTTCACTAATATGAGCAAGCCATCCTCCAAGTACAATGAAAAGAGTGCAGGATTTAGTGTTAAAGAGCTGGGTTCAGATCCTAATTCTGGCACTTGCTAGTTACCTTATGCATGTCAGTTTACATTGCTGAGCCTTTATTTCTTCATCCAGAAAAGAAAATCATTGGACTGGATGATATTTGAGGTCCCTTCTACATATAAGTCTATAATCCTGTGATCTTTCTTTGAATCAAGTAACAATGTCACAGTCCACCATTTTCTCATTAAAGGAGCATTTGCTGAATACAAAACAAAGGGTTACCATGGGCTAGAAGAAGAAAAAAAATTCATAACCAATCTTGACCCCAGAGAAAAGATGAGAAAGTCCCAAACTGTTTCATACACTGTCAGACATGGAGGCTACTGCTGGTGTTTCTTTATTAACAAGGTCAGGGTTGAATAAAACCTAATATAAAAGCAACCTGATATAAAAACAAAATGCATCATTGCATTTTATTTTAATTAAAGTCAAAACTTTAATTAAAAGAAGAAAGAGAAGCTCTTGACTCTGCTTTCTACACAGATATAAATATTCTAAAAAGAGATTAGTCTGTGAATGTATGGAATTCGAGGGTGGGGGGGAGGAAGGACAATTTGCCTTTTTTTTCTGTTCCATGCACATGTTTTATACCAGAGCCAGTCATTTCTAAGAACAGCTTACCTTGAAAAAGGATAATTGTTTACACTGTCCCCAAAATCATACTTTCTCGTCTTCCATTATTCATAGTTACTGCCCCAAAGACGTGCACAACAAGGAGAATCTTTTCAACAGTCTGAACTATGATGTTGTGGCCAAGAAAAGAAAGAAGGACCTGATGAACAGCAAAACCAAAATTCAGTGTAAGGCATTATCTTTGGACTTGGGGAATGGGTTTGAACAGATAGGAAAAGGTTTTAAGAACCCGTTAAGAAGAGAACATCGCAGCCCTCTCCATATTTACTAATGATTACTTTACTAACATATTCATTATCTCCACAATTGCTAGTGTTCTTCCTCTAACCCCAGAAAATCATTTTGAATTTACTTATCTTTATACATTTCTTAGGGTGGCTAGCTGTCACGGTAGAAAAAGTGCCAGGCCTAAAGGCAGGAAGACTCATCTTCCTGAGTTCAAATCTGGCCTCAGATACTTACTAGCTCTGTAGCCCTGGGCAAGTCATTTAACCCTGTTTCCCTCAGTTCTTCATCTATAAAATGAAAACCACGCCAAGAAAACTCCAAATGGGGTCACAAAGAGTCGGACACAACTGAAATGAGTGAAAAACAACAACTTACATTTCTTTCTTTCCCCGTTCCCTAATAGAATGTAAGTTCCTTTCCAGCCGGGACTATTTTGTTATTTGCTTTTGTATCTGGGGCACCAAGCATAGTGCTTGGAACTCAAGCTGGCACTTAATATTTGCTTATTGAAATGAATTTAGTTGCACCTTTTTTATGTTTATTTGGGTGTTCTTCAAAGGTCATTTGTGTCTCTGCATTCAGGTTTGAGCTAAGTAAGGAACCTGACTGCGTATTTGATAAGGAGCTGTAGACCCATTTTTGTTATTATTTTCTGTCAGCCTTCCTGCTCCCTTTGTTGTTGTTTTTTTCTTTTTTTTCCTTTCCTTATTTTTTTTTGTCCTCTGTGTCATTTATAGTTGGCAGAACTCAAATCATTTTTCCTAGGGCACATTCAATAAAGACCACTCTAATGTTTTTGTTTTGAGTTGTGGTTTGAAAGTTTTAAAAAAATATATTCTTTCTTCTTTCTTGTGGAATTGGTATTTACATTCCTTGATATGATATGTGAATACGAGAAAGGGTTTTGAGTCTCAGATCCTAAACACAAAATATAAAATCTCTAGTTTAATCTTTACTGTGAGGTTTTGTACTTTGTAGTCTCATCTGTTTTATATCTTCTTTCTTGTGGCCCTTGGAAAAGCTTCACATTTGGCACTTAATACAAACACCCTACCTAGTGGAAGAGGTGTTTCGTTTTGTTTTTAATTCAATAACAATTCTGCCCTTTCATTTAAGAAAGCTGGCTATCAGCCATACTTGGTGCCTGCAACCCAAGTAAATTGAAATTCTTCACTGTATTTATACACTGTAGAGATTAAACATTTACATAGTCGTGGACTGAGTCAGTAGAGCACATGCCACTGCTCAGAATCCTGGCTTTTCTTTCAAAACTTTTGTTAAACCTGGGAACAGATGCAAAAGAAATGCACCTAAGATGTTGGGCAATTCTATAAAGTACTAATGATGTGTCCCTTTTTCAGATTTCCACCAGGAAAAATGGATCTACGTTCACAAAGGAAGCACTAAGGAAGTAAGTGCCCCTCAGTAGAGCTGATTAGGTCTGCTTAGTTAACTTGACAGAAATGGACAACTGGCTTTTTCCCTTCTAAGAGTGAGTGAAAATTAGCACCATCCAAAAACAGAATGATCTGTTCCAGGAGGTAGTAGGTCTCCCCTCATTGGGGTCCTCAGGAAGAGGTTGGATGACCACTTTCTGGGTGGATTGTAGTTGGGATCCTTTTTAGGATATAGGCTGGACTAGATAGCCAGCTGAGTTCCCATCTCATTCAAATTCTGTGATTTGGGGTAGATAGAAAAGGAGGTAAAACTATGGCCTTCCAGGTTATGTTCCGACAAGTGAGTATCCGTCTTTCGTGTGACGATCCAGCCGGTATTTGAAGATGCTTAGCTATATTCTTCTCTTTGTTAGAGACCTCTTCTAGCAACAGAGGAGCAGGGTGGTCCCACACTAGTTGAAGATTAATTAGAAATTGGTTCTGAATGGATTGCTGTTCAGAATAAGCTGTCTAACCAAAAAATGACTCTGGTCTTCCTCTCTCACTCTCAGCGCCATGGATACTGTACACTGGGAGAAGCTTTCAACAGGCTGGACTTCTCCACTGCTATTCTGGATTCCAGAAGGTTCAACTACGTTGTGCGGGTAGGCATCCAGGGCAAAAGGCCTTGCCCATTGATCTGCTATTGTTGTCGTTCAGTCGTTTTTCAGACGAGTCTGATTCTTCGTGACCTCATTTTGGGGTTCTCTTGGCAAAGATATGGGAGTGGTTTGCCATTTCCTTCTCCGGCTCATTTTACAGATGAGAAAACTGAAGCAAACAGGGTTAAGTGACTTAACCAGGGTCACATAGCTAGTAAGTGCCTGAGACCAGATTTGAACTCAGGAAGATGAGGCTTCCTGGCTTCAGGCCTGGCACTCTATGCACTATGCCCCCTAGCTGCCTTAAACTGTTATGTTAGAATATTCTAACTAGTTGTGAATGCTTTTGGCATATAAACCGATAGCTTAAATGCTTTTATGCCTCTCTTAATAGAACATTCCTTAGGTCAGGCTCAGAAGGCTGAGTCCAAGACAAAACTTACCTAAGCTACTCTTTTTAGTGAGAGATTTAAAAATATTTTTTCCACTATTTTTCATACTAAATCTGTCACACGGATAAATGGAAAACACAGATCAGGCAGCCCAAAACTCATAGCAACAGGTCCTAAGCCAAAGATAACATTTAGGAAAAGGGGACAGGCAGAGATTCCTTTAGTACAAAATGCATCAATCACCCTAAAGACAGTCTTTCAGCAACGCTTAGTGAATTGAGTGCTGGTCCTAGAGCCAGAGAGACCTGGGTTCAAATCCCTCCTTAGAAATTTTCTAGCTAAGTGACCCTGTTCAAGTCACTTAATTCCTCTCACCTCATCAAATTCTAATCTGCCAAATGGAGATAATAACTGGAGCACCTACTTTAGTAAGGTTCTCCCCCTAGATTCTCTTTTGTGAACCTTAAAGTGCTGTATAAATGGAGATTAGTATTATTTCCAAAGAGCTGTGTGATAATATTAGACAATATTAATTATTTAATTAATTAAATTAATTAAGTTTATTTCCTTACTACCTCTATTTGAATATAGTCAATGATGAGCTAGGTGACATAATGGCTAGATAACTAGGCTTACATTCAAGGACATAGTGGCTAGAAATACACGGCAGAGTATAGTGTGAAGACTGAGATCTAGTCACATTTCTTCCACTAACTAACTGTATGACCTTAGACAGGTCACTTAGCATCCCTGAGTCCCAGTTTCCTCAATTAGAAAATGAGAAGACTGATCTAGATGGCCCCAATGTCTCATCCAAGTCCAGTGTTCTGTGAGACTCACCGAAGAGGGGATTCAAGGGTAACCAAGTTGATATGCACCCCGATGACTTTCTCTGCCCTCTCTCTGCTCCCCTCTTCAATTTCTACTCTCAGCTGTCCTAGATACATTCTTGGCTGGGGCAGAAGAATTATATCAGAGTCCAAATCATATGAGTGTTTCTTCACCTCCACCCCATGTGATGCTGTATCCAATACCAGGTTTACCTACAGCTGAAATTACCTGTTTTCATCTACTGCTTTCCATTCCAAACTCCCATTTGCAACAGTACAGCATACTAAGAATTTGATTTCTCCAAACTGGAGTGAACGATGGGTGGAAGAAAGTAAGAACGTTTATGTCACTGAGCAGTCTCTAGGCTAGGTTGTTTTCTGTTGGTGGCATTTTCTGTTTTTGTTTGGGTCCTTTTTTTTCTCCCTAAGCTCCCTTTTGCATTTTTGTCAGTGGTTCAACCTGGGAAGCTGCAGCTGTTTGGGTTTTAGGTTCTGGGAGGATTTTTTGGCCAGCTCATCATGCTTCCCAGGGCAAGCTCATTGAGTCAAATGATTCCAAACAGCCAGCCAAAGAGATGACATTCAAGAGAGTTCAGTCTTGGATCACTCACCTGTTGTCTAAACAGATGCAAGCCAGGCCTCCTGCACAAATCTGATCAAACATGGCTTTCCACTTTAGGTGTGGGGCTCTTTGCTAAGGCCCTACACTTTGGCCAAATGATTCTCTCTGTTTGACTCACTAAGACAGCATTCTCCCAATACAAGTGATTAACACAAGACGTGCTCTTGGGCAAATAATCCTCTCTATTTGAGTCATTAAGTTGTTTTTTCAGCACAGGTGACTAACACAAGACACCTTCTCAACCCAGATAGTTGCAGAATTGAGCATGAATGTTGTTGGGCCAGGCACCAGGCACTGAGGGAGGTGTAGCCATAGGGCTCAGGGTAGTCTGGAGTCTAGCCTAGAGGATTGGTTTGCAGCAGCTCTGTGACAGCCCAATGTCTTCTGTGGCCTAGGGGGTGGTAGTACCTCCTTTCTGGTTATTATATGAGGACATCCAACCACACAAAGTCCTTCCCTATAATACTGGAAGTGTGGCTGTTAAGAAAATTAGTATCTTCTCAGCATCACATTTCACATCTCTTCCTTCCTCCCATACATACACTTTTGCCATCACACACGAACACGCATGCACACACACACACACACACACACACAAACACATACACACACAGACAATCATATAATAATGGCACATTCGTGCTTTTGCCACCACAGGCCCCAAACATCATCATGTATGGAAGAAAATAATCACAGACAACATGAGAGAGTAAGAGAGGGAGTGCTTTAAATCCATCATCTCATTTAATCCTTATAACAGCCCTGTGCTGTAGGTAAATATCCACATTTTATAGATGAAGAAACTGAAGTTCAGAGAGGTTCACTGATTTGCCCAGTATTACCCAGTAAGTGGCCAATGTAGGACTAGAACTCATACACAAGATTGAACTTATCACATGCTAACAATGACATTGGTTTAAAGACTAGTTTGGACTCGAGGCTTGGACATCGCAATTGTTTGCTTTATCATGAAAGGGAAGAACACCTAGCCTGAGCAAACTGAATTATTTTTCTCTGTCCCTGCTGGCACCCTAGTTTCAGTGGGGCAGCCAGGGACATAGTATATAGAGTGCTTGACATCATCAGGAAGGCCTGAATTGGAATCTTGCTTCAGACATTTATTAGCTGTGTGACCCTGGGCAAGCTGCTTAACTACCATTTGCCTCCTTTCCTCATCTGTAAAATGGGGATAAAAATAATAGCATCTACCTGCCAGGGTTATTATAAGAATGAAATGAGATAAAACACATAAAGCACTTTGCAAACCTTTAAAGCACTATATCTATTGTTGTTACCAATGCGTTGGATTTTTCCCCTCATATTAAAATCCCACAAGTATTTATTAAGCACCTAGTATATGCAAGTCACTGTGAATACTAAGCAGAACAAATCTTTTCTTTCCCTTAGGGAGCACACATTCTACTGAGGGAGGTATAACATTTACATAGACAAGTATATTCATGATAATTTGAAGAAGGAGAGAGGACTTTAGGAAAGGCTTTGAGGAGAGGGCTGAGCCTTAAAGAAAGCCAAGGACCCTAAGAGGGAAGGAGGCTGTGCCTTCCAGTCATGGGGAAGACACGGAATGTCCACTTTTCCCTAGGTACTCAGTCCTTTCAGACGAAGTTACTGTAAAAGAGGCCAACTTTTCTTAAGGAAAAACTGACAGTGACTTAAGATGCATTCACTAGCATGAAAAAAATTCTCATTCACTCCACTCTCATTCACTCACACTCAGTAAAAGGAGTGTGTTTGCTTCTTTTACACCAGTCAAAGGAGTTTGTAAAACCAGTGGCATTCTGGATGTGATGCTCCATGAGACCTGCCCTCAAATATTCTTAAGGTCACAAAGTAAGAATTACTGAATGCTCATGAAGGTGTTTTGGTTTAGAAATGTTGGAAGAATATTTTTATTTGGAGAAGGAAGAATTTTTTTTTCTTCTGCTTAAGCCCCTCAGCAGCTTTTGGAATAAAGTGTTATTTGATTAAGACCCTTAAAACATTTTCATAATAAGAGGCACTATGTTTCTGTTTTGAAGTTTAGTTTTTTCCTTTGGGGAATTAAAAGCATTTTACAGATGGCCTCTTTTTAATCATCAAGCTAATCCTGTGAGATAGATATGACAGTTAAATTTCTTGAAATCAATTCCCCACCCCATCCCCACTTCCTAATTGCTTAAGGCTGATTAGCTACATGACTCTGGGCAAGTCATTTAACTGCCTCAGTTTACCTCAGTTCCTTATCTGTAAAATGAGCTGGAGAAGGAAATGGAAAACCACTCCAGTATCTTTGCCAAGAAAACCCCAAATGGGCTCATGAAGAGAGACCCAAGTCAACATATGACCACCCCTAACACATCAGCCACAGGGTGGCGCCACGGTGGGACTACAGTAAGGAAGACCCGAGTTCAAAAGTGAACTCAAACACCAGCTGTGTGTAATCACTATTTATCTCAGTTTCCTCATCTGGGGATAATAGTGGCACCTCCTTCCCAGGGTCACTGTGAGGAACAAATGAAATAATATTTGTAAAGCACTCAGCACAGTGCCTGGAATATAGCAGGTGCTATGTAAATGCTTATTCCCCTTCCTGACCATAGCCTGGTAATAGGTGTACAGCATAGTAGAAAGTGTTGGACTTGGAATTAAGAGAACTGGGTTCAAATCCTGCCTCAATGGCTTATAGTTGTGTCACTGTGAGCAGGTCAGCCTCTCAGGGCCTCAGTTTCCTTATCTGTAATATTTTACTACCTATCTCTATATCACTTTGTTAAACATTTAAGGGCTATAGAACTGTGAGCCTTTCATTATTTCTAGATACCATTATCAGTCTTCTGGGTTAAGGATTCTGAAATGCACTAAATCACTTAAAAAGCAAAAGAGAGGCTGATGGGAGGTGTGAACCAGCTAAAGCACATCACACAGGAAAATCCCAAGGCAGAAGCACCATTAAGGATGGCATCAGAGAAACATAGGACTGGGGAAAAAATGATCAGCCGGTTGGTCATATGGTGAAAACAAAGGAAGGGACATCGACTCTTTTATTAGAGGGCATAGGTTCAAATCCTCCTTCTGACACAGTGCCTGTTCGACCTTGGGCCTCGGTGAGCTTATCTGTAAAATTAGGAGGTTAGAACGGATGACCTCAGAAGTTCCTTG